TGTGTTACTATTGTTGTTCTGTCCCTAAGTCTTCTACAACTGTTTGTGACCACATGAACTGCTGCATGCCAGAGTACCTGTTCTTCCCTCTATCCTGGAGTTTGCTCAGATTCAGTCCGTTGAGTCTGTGATGTTGTCTAACTATCTCATCATCTGCTGCCCCCTTCTCCTTCTACCTTCAGTCTTTCCCAGCATCAGGGTCTTTTCCAGTGAGGGACTTTGCATCAGGTTGCCAGACTATTGGAGCATCAGCTTCAGCATTAATTCTTCTAGTGAATATTCAGGATTGATTTCCTTCTGGACTGACTGGTTTGATCTCCTTGCTGTCCAAGGGATTCTCAAGAGTTTCCTCCAGCACCACAGTAATAAAGCATCAATTCTTCAGTGCTCAGCCTTCTTTCTGGTCCAACTCTCACAGCTGTGCATGACTACTGGAAAAACCACAGCTTTGACTAGACAGATATTTGTCAGCAGAGTGATGTCTCTGCTTTTTAATACACTTTCTAGGTTTGTCATACTTTCCTTGAAAGGTGCAAACGTCTTAATTTCATGGCTGCAGTTACTGTCCACAGTGATTTTGGAGCCCAAGAAAATAAAATCCATCACTGCTTCTACTTTTTCCCCTTCTATTTGCCATGAAGTGGTGGGATTGGATGCCATGATCTTAGTTTTTTGAATGTTGAGTTTCAAGCCAGATTTTTCACTCTCCTCTCTCAGCCTCATCAAGAGGCTCTTTAGTTCCTCTTCACTTTCTGCCATTAGAGTGGTATCATCTGCATTCTGAGGTTGTTGATATTTCTCCCAGCAATCTTGAGTCCAGCATATGATTGAAAAATCCAACCCAGCATTTTGCATTATGTACACTGCATTTCAGTTCAATTCAGTCGCTCAGTCGTGTCTGACTTTTTGCAACCCCATGGACCACAGCATGCCAGGCTTCCCTGTCCATCACCAACTCTAGGAGTTTACCCAAACTTATGTCCATCGAGTTGGTGATACCATCCAACCATCTCATCCTCTGTCCTCCCCTTCTCTTCCTGCCCCCAATCCCTCCCAGCATCAGGGTCTTTTCCAATGAGTCAACTCTTCGCGTGAGGTGGCCAAAGTATTGGAGTTTCAGCTTCAGCATCAGTCCTTCCAATGAAGACCCAGGACTGATTTCCTTTAGGATGGACTGGTTGGATCTCCTTAAGTTAAATAAAACTTAGCAATTTTTATTAAATTGTTACAATTTACTTTAAGGGTGACAATATATAGCCTTGTCGCACTTCTTTCCTGGTTTTGAACCAGTCATTTATTCTATGACTGGTTCTAACTATTGTTTCTTAACCTGCATACAGGTTTCTCAGGAGGTGGGTAAGGTGGTCTGGTATTCCCATCTCTTCAAGAATCTTCCAGTTTGTTGTAATCCACATAGTCCAAGGCTTTAACATAGTCAAAGAAGCATAGTCAAACCAATTTTTTTCCCCTGGATTTCCTTTCCTTTCTCTGTGATCAAAAAACTATTGGCAATTTGATCTCTGGTTCATTTGACTTTTCTAAACCCAGCTTGTACATTTGGAAGTAATTCTTGGTTCATGTACTGCTGAAACCTAGCTTGAAGGATTTTGAGCATACCCTGCTAGCATGTGAAATGAGCACAACTGTACAGTAGTTTAAACATTGAGAGCTGGACCATAAAGAAAGCTGAGCGCCAAAGAACTGATGCTTTTGAACTGTGGTGCTGGAGAAGATTCTTGAGAGTCCCTTGACTGCAAGGAGATCAAACCGGTTGGTTCTATAGGAAATCAGTCCTGGATATTCATTGAAAGGACTGATGCTGAAACTGAAGCTGCAATACTTTGGCCACCTTATGCGAAGAACTGAGTCCTTAGAAAAGACCCTGATGCTGGGAAAGGTTGAAGGCAGGAGGAGAAGGGGACGACAGAGGATGAGATGGCTGGATGGCATCACTGACTCAATGGACATGAGTTTGAGTAAACTCTGGGAGTTGGTGATGGACAGGGAGGCCTGGCGTGCTACAGTCCATGGGGTCGCAAGGGTCAGATAGGACTGAGCAACTCAACTGACCTTGAAAATTCTTTAGCATTGCCCTTCTTTGGGATTGTTTTCTAGTCCTGTGGCCACTGCTGAGTTTTCCAAATTTGCTGACATGAGTGTGGCACTTTAATAACATCACCTTTTAGGATTTTGAAACCACTTAGATGGAATTCCTTCACCTCCACTAGCTTTATTCATAGTGATGCTTCCTAATCCCCTCTTGACTTCACATTCCAGGATGTCTGGCTCTAGGTGAGTGATCACACCATCATGGTTATCTGGGTTATAAGATCTTTTTTGTAGTTCTCCTGTGTGTTCTTGCCACCTCTTCTTAATCTCTTCAGCTTCTCTCAGGTCCACACTGTTTCTGTCCCTTCTTGTGTCCATCCTTGCATGAAATGTTCTCTTGACATATCCAGTTTTTTTTTTAAAAGATCTCTAGTCTTTCCCATGCTGTTTTCTGCTGTTTCTTTGCATTGTTCTGTTAAGAAGGTCTTCCTGTCTCTCCTTGCTCTTCTCTGGAACTCTGCTTTTAGTTGGGTCTATCTTTCCCTTTCTCCCTTGCCCTTCACTTCTCTCCTTTCATCAGCTATTTGTAAAGCACTTTAGAAGCCCTGAATTCAGTTCTATCTGGAACTCTGGTTCCACTTGGGTACCACCTGCTTCTCCTTGCTGGGAGAAGATGCTGCCTGGAGGAGCAAGAATCTTTCTGTGCAGCCTCGTGCATCCTCCCCTGCACTATGTGTGGCTTAGTTGTCACATGTATTTGATCTGGTCAGATATTTCCCAGCAGAAGGACAGGTCTGGTACTAGTTGTTTTATTATAGGAGATGGATATTTAAGCTTTGTGGGTTTGTTTTTGTTTTTTTGTTTTTTTTTACTGTCATGTTCTCATAAACAGTGAAAGAAATAATAAAGTAATAGTAGTGGTCCATTTTTATTTCAGTGGTTCCTGGACCTGGAAGCATTAGAAGTCCTCTGTGTTTGTAGCCCTTGCACCGGGTGCATTGTTAAAGGAAAATTCTTTGAGATGCCAAAATTCTCTTAAAGTGATTTTGAGGCAGACGTTACTCCTACTTCTTTCACTCAAGAGTGAAATCGAAGGTTGCTGTTTATTTTAAACTTCCGGTATACACAAAATCTGTGGGAGTCCTATACATTTCAGACTCTTGCTTTGATTAGATAGTTGGGTTTAATCCTCTTCTTTACAAATTGGTCTTGTAATTCAGATATTCATTAACAAAATAATTGCTGAGGATGCATTTCCATTCATATTTTGATTATTAGCTTATGGAATAATTCCCTATATAAATTCATAATGTTTAATTTCTTTAAATTCATCCATATCAGTAGCCTGTCTGCTTTCTTTAGATACCTTGCAATATAGCATGTTATTTAAAGCTGTTTTTTGGAAATATTCAGGCAAGATTTTCTCTGTCTTTTCAATGCAACTTTGAACATGTTTGCAGAAAAATTAAAATGTAATAGTGTTTATTTGTAATATAAAATATTTATGTTGATTCGCCACCATTTTTTAACTTTCCCTTTGAAAGTTTGTCTTTAAGGCCACGTTCGGCCCTCTAAACGGGAAAATTGGCCTCGTTTCTGACCCTAGTTTGATGGAATTTAGTGTAATCATTTACTTCATTCACAGCTTTGGCTTTGCGTGACTTTAGACTAATTAAAAAAAAAAAAAAATAGAAATGACCTTCAAAGATGAGGATTTTTCCAGTGTGACTACTCTGTATTTTCCAAAGGGAATTCCAAAAGCAGAGTTTTTACAACAATAATGCTATTATTAGTTTGAGCATGTAAGTTCCCAAGGCTCTTGCTTTGAAGGGAACAATATTCATTCAGATATTTATATTCTGGTATGTTTGCTTCCATTCTAATTGTATCTCATATACTAGTATCTGTCCATTTCCTTGGAGTTTTTCCTCCTACCTCTAAAGATTTGTTTTAAGCTATAGTAAGCTAACAATGATCACATTGGATAACTATGGTATCAGTTGTTAATGAATTGCTTCATTTTTTTAACAAATATTTTTGAGTTCCTGAGTTGATCTTGGGGATGCAGCAATGAACCAATAAAAGCCCCTCGTGGCGTTTACGGCCTACCTTTCATCTTCTTAATCTGGTTTAATGGAAAATAGCCTGCATCTTTTTTTTCTTTAACCCACATTTTGAACTTTTACACATTTCAAAAGCCCTTTGTGATTATTGGATGTACAAGGATGTACTTTGTGAAAGGGGAAAGAGATTCAGAAGATTAAGGAGTTGTTTATAGTTTGATGAAGCCCATGCACTTTTATTAAATAAAAAAGAAAAGATTTTAATTCTTATGAACATCTGAGATAGAAATACAGAATACTGAGGTAAGAGAATCGCTTACTGAGGTAAGCAATCGTTTGTTGTTCTTGTTGTGTTATGCTGAGTCGTGTCCAACTCTTTGTGGCCCAGTGTACTGTAGCCCATCACGCTCCTCTATTCACAGAACAAGGTCAGTCGTTACAAAGGAAGTAACATCAGTACTGGAAAGGTCATTTTGGAGGTGGTGGGTTTTATAGGAAAGAATTTCAGACCAGAGATGCTTTTCTTTTTCAGAAGAATCAGTGAGATGGGAATAGGCAAAATTTATTACAGAAGAGGAGAGTTGTCACTTTTTCTGGGGTTTAAGTGAGACTATCTAAATTGGTTACTTTTTTGAATTTTGTTTATTTCTTAACATTTGTTTGCATCTGTATTTATTCATGAACACTAGCTTCTTTAAAAAACTTTAAATTTATCTTTGTCAAAGATTATATGTACTTATATGATTTGATGTCTTTACAATGATAAAATTAACATTCAGAGCAACAAGGTAAGTCAAAGGTTAGATTTCTCTAATCCTATAAATCAGAAAAATCAAATCAATCATTGAGCAAGTCAGTCACTAAATTTAATTTCATCTTCCTTACTAGGATCCTCGATTCAATGCAGAAGTTGACCAAATTACAGGCTACAAGACACACAGTATTCTTTGTATGCCAATTAAGAATCATAGGGAAGAGGTAAGCCAATTTTCCATTTTATAAAAGGTCATTTGGAAACATTTTTCTTTTTGAAAATTTTTTTTTACTTTTCATACTTCTGAAATAATGCAGTAGTGTAGTTAACTCGAAAGTACTTAAATGTTCTGCTTGATGTTTTTTATTTAGACTTTAGTAATAGAATTATATCCTGATTATTTGCTTTGACCTAGAAATACATTTTAGACATATAATTTTTTTTAATCCCTGTTTCCTGAGGACCTTACTCTGTCCTAAGATATATAATTGTGGTTGTGATTATAATCAATTTATTTCATATTATATTTTGAACACCTGAATAATGCTTATTTCATAAATGGTTATCCAATCTCAATGATCATCAACTGATTTTATTTTTTATTCAAAATGAGGTTTTGAAAAAAATGGAAATTGTAGCTAACTCCAAGAAAAATTTATTGTGAAATTATAACAAGCAAATGAAAATGGGTTGGTTTATATTTCACCTAATTAGAAGGTTTGGATTCTGTAAACACTGAATTCTCTCTTCATATTACATTTATTTGAAAAAAATAGTTAATAAATGATCATGTAAACTGAATGCTTCACTTGAGTATTCTCAGCCCTACCTGCACATTACTAACAACTGTGGACCTTCTAAAAAGTTACAAATTAAATCAGAATCTCTAAGGGCAGTGTGTAGATACTGATACATTTTTAAAGATCCTCAAATAATTCTAAAGTGTAGCCAGGGTTGGAAATCATCTCTAAGTGAAAACAAATAGATTGAAAGAACTCCTATTTGTGGTTCTTAACCTTGGCTGCAAACAGAATCACCTGTGGAGCATTTAGAAATTCTAAAACCAGTTGTTACCGTCTGACTCCTGTGACCCCATGGACTATAGTCCTCCAGGCTCCTTTGTCCGCAGGATTCTCCAGGCAAGTGGAAAAAAAAAAAGAATACTGGAGTGGGTTGCCGTACCCTCCTCCAGGGGATCTTCCTGACCCAGGGTGGAACCTGCATCTCCTCTCCTGCATTGGCAGGTGGGTCCTTTACCACTGAGCCCCCTGGGAAGCCCATCCAATCTTTACCAAGTTCCATAGATTGTTTTTCTATTAGCGTTTCCCATTTCCGTTTCTTTCTTTCAATTTCATTCCTGCTACCTGTACTGTACCATGGTTCAGATCTTGAAGTAATGCCTGAACTTTTAAAATATTCTCATAAGGAGTTTCTGTACTTTAAGTCAATTTCCCTTGGATGCCCGCTACATATGCCCTCGGGAATTTTCCTGAAACACAACTTTCTAAATCAGTGCTTCCAACAGATCGCCAGTTCAGGGTGGATGCAAGAGACAAGGGCTCAGGGCTGGTGCACTGGGATGACCCAGAGGGATGGGATGGGGAGGGAGGTGGGAGGGGGGTTCAAGATGGGGAACACATGTAAATCCATGGCTGATTCATGTCAATGTATGGGAAAAACCACTACAATATTGTAAAGTAATTAGCCTCCAACTAATAAAAATAAGTGGGAAAAAAAAAGAAGAAAAAAAATTTTTTAAATAAATAAATCAATCAGTGCTTCCCTTGTGGCTCAGACAGTAAAGTGTCTGCCTACAATGAGGGATACCTGGGTTCGATCCCTGGGTCGGGAAGATCCCCTGTAGAAGGCAATGGCACCCCACTCCAGTGCTCTTGCCTGGAAAATCCCATGGATGGAGGAGCCCAGTAGGCTACAGTCCATGGGGTCGCAAAGAGTCAGACACGACTGAGTGACTTCACTTCACTTCAAAACAGGAATGTGCACGTGGAATCTTAAGATGCAGGTTCTGAGTTCAGTAGTCTAGGTGAGCCCTGAGTGAAAGCCTGTTCCGTAAGCAGAGTTGGTGCTGGTGCACCCAGCCAGCAGTCACAGCTTGATGAACAGGCTCCTAGGTCAGTAACTTCTCAGTCTTCTGAATACCTTCTCAGGGCCTTAGAGTTGCCACGTGGTTTCTTAAGAAGGTAGTTACAGCCATGATTACTAAAAATACCTGCCGCTAAAGCATATATATGAGATTAAATAATTAGCTAATTCATTGTGAATGAATAAATGAAATTGAAAAGACCGTGCATGGACCAATGGTGTTCTTTAATTGGATTGCCAGATAGAGGAAATGCAAAGCATATCTTATGCAGTATTGGGGATATAATTACACTAAAAAACCATTTGTTATTCATCTAAAGTTAAATTTGACCAGACATCCTATATTTTATCTGGCTGCCCTAGTTATAAACCAAGGATGTATTATGTGCACTTAAGAAGGTGATGTTCAGCTTTTAGTTTATAAGTATGTTTTAAAACCATGGCCTGAAAAACAACTTTGTATGGGTCGAGAGACTTAGCCCAAATCATGCTCTGGTTAAACGTCTCTTTCTAAGTTGCATGAACACTGAGGGTTGAGGGAATCCATGAGAATATGCAACAAAATCACCAGGGTGAAGAAACTGCCTTTCTGCAAGAGAGCATCCTCTGGGTACACATATTTTTGTCTTTGTAACTGCCAGTGAGGAAAGTGAAAATGAAGTTGCTCAGTCCTGTCCGACTCTTTGTGACCTCATAGACTGCAACCCACCAGGCTTCTCCATACATGGAATTTTCCAGGCAAGAATACTGGAGTGGATTGCTTAAACTAAAACAACAGTAACAAAAACCCCTGCTGCACTGATGTGCAAGTTAGGTAATCAAATTCACTCATTTTAAGTGTATAGTTTGATGTGTTTTTAAGAGATGCATGTACAGTCCTGTAACTATCACTGTCATCAAGATATAAAACATTTGGGACTTCCCTGGTGGTCCAGTGGCTAAGACTGTGCTCCCAGTGCAGGGGGCTAGAATTTGATCCTTGGTTGGGGAACTAGATACCACGTGCTACAGCTAAGATCCCAGTGCAGCCAAGTAAATTACAATAATAATAAACTTTTTAAAAGATGCAAAGCATTTCTGTCCCCTCTTATATTTCCCTGCACCCCCTGTAGTTGAGCTCCGCCTCCCTCAACCCCCAGCTGCCGACAGTCCCTGACCTGTTTCCTGTCACTGGTATCTTGGCTTTTCTAGAATGTCATACACATCATATAAGTGGAGTCATACAGTATGTAGTCTTGTGTGTCTGCCCTCGTTCACTTGGTGTCATGCTTGTGGTTCATCCACGTTCTTGCGTGTATGAGTAGTGTGTTCCTTTTTTATTGCTGAGTGATTATTCCGGGGTGTGGATGTGCCACAATTTGATTATCTGTTCATCCGTTGATAGACTTTTGAGTTGTTTCCAGTTTTTGTCTCTTAGGAGAAGACACACTGTTGATGTTTGCATACTGGTCTTTTTGTGGACGTATTTTCGCTTCTCTTGGGTAAATATATAGGAGGGGTATTTCCAGGTCATGTGTTGGATGTTTGTTGAATTCTATAAGAAACTTCCAAAGTCCTTTCCAAAGTGACTGTGCCATATGCTTTTTTACCTGTGATGTGTATGAGAGTTCTAGTTGCTTCACATCCTAGGCAACACATGGTGTTGTCAATTTTTGAAAGTTTTAGCCCTTAAATTTGATCACGTGAGTAAATAACCTGGCTCACAGTCACGGGCCGTCTGCTTATTTACAGACCTGAGTAAAGTGGGTTCAGCCACAGGTCCCCAGATTGTGACTGTCCAGAGCTCCCCCTGAGATTTCTGCTGAATTACTCTGCATTCTCGGCATTGCCTGCCTCCAGGCCCCTTCTTCCTCCCCTGCTGTCTGTTTTACCCTGTGATGATTTGATGAGAAGACTGAGCTCTCACTGGTTTTCACAAAAGCTTATTCACACAGAACATTTCATGAGATAAAAGTTTTCAGTGACTTCACTGGCGTCTTAGTAACTTTACTGATGGGAAGCTTTCCAGACGCAGCTTTTTAAACATCTTGCTGACCCTCCCCACTCTTTGCCCTCGCCTCCCACGCTCACACTGCTGGGTTTGAAATTATTTCCTGTGAGAATTATTCCTTCAGAAAAAAAGGAATGAAGAGAAACAGTCAAAAAAACAGTCATACTCTCAGCTTGGTTGTGGTATAAAAAGTCATTTAGCTGACCCAGAACTACTAAGAAGATGAACTGTATGAATTCCAAAATTATCTTTAGATTTATAGCTACCTAAACAAACTGGGGGCAATGTTTGCTGTTGTGTACATACAATAGAAAAGTGCTCTTTCTCTCACGAAGCTTTTTAAATCACAATGGGAGAGTCCCAGTAGGGCTTTGGGGAGTAGTTGTTAACAGTTGCTCTGGGCTTGAATCCCATCTTCAACACTTACTTGATGAGAAACCAGGATAGAATTGGTTAATCCCTGGATCTTCAGTTTCCTCATCTGCTAAATGAGGGTTGTAAAAGGACCTACCTACCTCAGAGGGTTGTTGTAAAGATTAAATGTGTTTGTTCATGCAAAGGGCTTGACATAGTTCCTGGCACACGGGAAGTGATCAATAAATGTCAACTGTCATTTGTTTAAAGGAGGCATGAAACTTTCATGAGAAAAAAAGGAAGAAGAGGTCATCAGCCACATAATAACCAGTCAGCTGGGATCAAATGACAGCCAGCACAGTCCCTGACTGGACTGTTACCCTCTAACAAACGCTAAGCTTCAAAGAAAGATACTTTTCATTGTTTTTGCTCATAAATGAGGCAGTGTAAATTTGGTTTCTTCTCTTTGTGTTAGTGCAGTTGTATTGAGTAAGCTGACGCTGACTCCAAGTATTTACCAAGGAACCAAAGATGAAATGTGATTGATTGTTTATAAAATGTCTTGGAACCTTTTAGTGACCCTGGTTTCTTACGGTACCAGCTCTGGAGAGCTGATTGGAAGGAGCAATTGAATACTGAATACTAGAGTCTGAACTACAACATAGTCCAGAATATTCAGGAAGATTTTTAAGATTCAGTAAAATATGTAATCACTTCATCTGCCTCTCTTCTTGTGAAATATTTCAACTAATTAAACATTTTCAGGAGTTCTTTTCA